AATGTGAGATTGTGGTATAGCTAAAAATTATTAAAATACCCATATTTCATTTATTTAATTTTTCCAAGTAACTTAACTTAAATTGTACTTGATTATTAACATAATAATGTTAGATATCATTTTCTATNTCATTTATTTAATTTTCAAAATTAACTTAAATCGCACTTGATTATTAATATATTAATGATATATATCATTCTCTATAAGTTTAAACTATTTTAATTTACCAAAGCAAACTATTTTAACATATTGATTTTTAATTTTTTGAATTATCGAGACTAATTGTTAGATAATAAATCTAATTAATAAAGATAGATTTACTTTAAATTATTATATGAATTTTTTTAAAAATAATTATTGTTTTCATAGTATTTTATTGTTTGTATATTTATTTATCAATTTATTTATTTATTGCATTTGGTTTGATTCCGATCATACCTTTCGTCCCTTTTACCTTTTTCGGGTCACTTTTCAAAACATTGCTATTTACAATTTTTGTCTTTTTCAAACTTTCAAATGTTTTCTTAATATTGGTAATTTTATCTTTATTCACTTAACCACTATTTGGTATTAATTAAAATTTTAATTTTAATTTAAATCAAAGTTATCAATTAATTTTAACTACATATTTCATGAATTTTACAGCTTTTAAACGATATATTTAATCAATTTTTATTAAAATTTGCTAAAAAAAATATTTTAATCTCCATCAAATAAGGACTTAATTCAAATTAGAAGAGAAATGTAATATTATTTTTAATGAAAAAGGAAATTATTTTTGTTTGAGCTAAAAAGAATGTTATCTTCTAAACTATGGATCCTATCGCGTGCTAACTTGAATGGGGCACATGATTAGCAAGCCCACCATATTGTGTGTGATTAATGCCTTCTTGAGATTTGGTGGACAGCTAATTTCCAGCATGTTTTGTAAACTTTAGATAATTTATTTTTAAAGTTAAAAAAAAAAAAGGGTTTTCATTTTACTCGCATTTCATTGACAAAGTAAAATACTTAATTATTTCATCAACAAGAATTATTTTTATAAAATTTATTATTTACTTGTCAGCAAACTTTTAAACTTATTATATAGAGTAACGTTATTCATCCTCACTGAGAATGAAAATACAGTTTAAGTGGCGTTAATTTAGCATTAAATAATATGTGAAATTAAATAAGTTTCATTTAACCTATCATTTAAAACCACATAAACTGTGTTTTCATCCTCACTTGGGATCAATAACATGACTCTATTATATATGGACTAATTTAAAGTATTTTCAAAAGAATCTCTATTTTTAAAAAACATATTTTACAATTTAGAGAGCATATACAAATTTAGAGAGTAAAAATCTTTAATTACTATAACAACCCTTTATATTTAACACTTAAATTTACTATTCCCCAAAAATATTTATTGTTTCTTCCTATATTTTATTTTAACTAACTCCCATCCAAATTATTATATCATTTTCGTTCATTGAAAATTGAAATATTTTGAATGCATTATTGTAGATAGTGGATTTGGCTCTTCATATTTAGGCTATGTTTGGTACCAATTCTCATTTTCAACAGTAAATCAATTCTCATTTTCAACCACACATTTTTCAATAAAATAATATTTTCTATCACATCAATAATCTTGTCTTCTTTTTCAACCACACATTTCCCATCATATCACTATTCAAAATCAATTTTTCCTCCAAAAAATCCCTACCAAACACACACAGTCAAACTTACTTTCTAAATTAAAATGTTAATTTAAAGAATCTTTTAGAATATACTTTTAATGATTGATTCTTTAAAATAAAGAACATTTTATATTTGAAGACCCTTGGGTATGCTCTTAACAATTACGAGTTCCACACTATTTTGAAATCGAGAACATTGACGTATGTGTTCTTAATTATCAATGGCCAATAAATTCAAATATAATTGAAAAATCCAAGAAGTGAGTATTGAGATTTGCAACTTATTAATACAATCATTGTAAAGTATGGATATAAAGTCAATTATAATGCAATTTCAAAGATTGATTTTTTAAAATAAAAATTTTTTACCCAACTTTTCATAATGATTATGTGGACAATAGATCTCTGCTCACTCTTGTCCGTGCAAGCAAATTCCAACAATTTTTTACCATAGATCCGGAAGGAAAATGGTGACGTTTATGAACGTAGGAGATACTCTGCTACTCGAGACAAAAATGTTCGAGTATCGACAATATGATCAAAGATGATAGCATAACTAACAATCACAAACAATTCAACCAAAATTAAAATAATATAAACTCAAGCAAATAAGTATGAGATGAGCAAAAGAGAAGATAGAATATGATTTTAAGTGTAGAAAGATGTATTATTTCTTAATTAATTACAAGAGTTGCTTATTTATAGAGTTTTTGCCAACGTGGTAGCCATTGGATCAGACCCACGTGTCCTCATTTCCTTGATCGAAACCTCACATCACCTTGTCTGCCATACATTTAATACATGATAACAGGTTAACCGCCTTACATCCTAAACTTACAATCCTAACATTCATTACTATAAACCTTATATCATTTCTAGAGATTGTCAGCAGATCCCTAAAAAGACAGCAAGTGCTTCAGCCTAAAGAAGGCTTGACAGGATAGTGCTTCGGCCATAGGAGAGCTTCGGAACAATGAGATCATTCTCTTCCTTAATTTCTTTATTTTTATCAATTGAGTTTTTGTGAGCTGTCATATGTCTTGACGTGGCTTCCACTAGGAGTTTCAGTTGTGAGACGTATCATAAATCATTTTACATTTAACAAATCCAATGGAGATGCTTACGTGGTATCCCTTTGATTCATTGTTTAAGGAATATTTAAAAATCATAAAGTCAATTTCTATCTAACTGAAACTCATTACAGCTAATTATAAATGTGAGGTATACATGCTAGGTATTAATGACACTAATATTTGGCCAACTCATTTAGTACACTAATATGTTCATTGCTTGTGATACACATGACACACATGTAGTATCAAAATATTTGACCAACTCAAGCGGGGCCCATTTTGCATTGGATTTCATTTTTTCTGTATAATTCCCTCCAAATTAGACTCGAGCATAGATCATTAACTTGGTAAGATTTCGCCCCTCTTGAGCTAGCCCTTGATTTCTTCTACATTGGATTTCTATGCAAGGTCAAATTTATTTTGTTGCAATCTTAATATGATATTCAAATTAGCACTAGTTACACATAAAAGTGAATCTATTAGACAAGTTGTCTCTCTATATGTACTTATTCACATTTTGATTGTCCAAATTGGAATAGTTTTGTCTAAATTTACACCTTTAATACCATAAGAACCTCAATTTAAGGCTAAATGGATACTTAGCCATTCATCTTTTTTATCCCCTCCAAAACACGTATTATCAATGCAATGTGTGAGCATAATTGTATACTTTGATATCATGTCAAAATGTCTTATCAAATGTTAATGTTATACCTCTGCTTACAAGAAAAGCCACGTGACAGTCAGCTAAGCAAAAAGTTACGTCAAAATCAATACTCCACTATCTATCACCTATTCCACATTCCTTTAGGCGCCTAGTCTGGAACAACTGTTATACAAGATAATTAAGCCATGCCTTTAGATATGTCGCTTGAAACATTATTGTTGTTCGAGACGATGGGTACCTCTCCAATGCAATGTATATCCTAGGCAATGACATCTTCTACAAATTTCGCCTCGACCAAGTTGTACAAAGTACAGTTTACAAAGTGATTGATGCAACGACTCTATAAGCGACGATGACCTGTGCCATTACCTTTCAACCTCTGGGAGCACGTGCCTATGAGGCTATGGATAACATAATTAAATTTGACAAGCAAGTAATTAGCATGAGATTACGTGTCAAGTATCCAATAGGCATCATCTCATCTCTATTAGTTATAAATACTCACACTTAGGCTATGTTTGACTTCCATTTTTTCCAAATCTCATTTTGCTTTTTAAAACTCATTTTCAAGTATACATTCGTCCATAAATTAATTTTACACGTAAATTCAAAATTTTTTTTTATCTTTTAAATATACATTCTCCAAAAAATCACTATTTTAAAATATAGTTTTGCAAAAAATGGGACTTAGTGACAACCACATGTAATCTAAAAACAATAGCAATATTCAGCCAACGCCCTATTTTTCATTCATTGTGTCTTTCCCACAAACAAAATATCTTTATTTGTTTGATCTAAACGTTGGAGTGCACATAACAATTACACCTTTGGAGCTACGCTCTTGTACAATTTAATGCGATGTTCATGTGTACAAGTAACATATACATAGACAATAGGAAAGTTGAATATGTTGACATACTTGGAGGTCAACAATTAAAGAAAATAAAATTTCATCGTCAATGAATGTTAATATGTTTCTTTCTGAATTCTTAAGATTGAAATTTCTAGTATCAAACAATTAGCCTGTTACTAACACCCGATTCAAATCAATTATTGATAAATATAATTTTTAATTACAAATAATTACAAATTTAAATTATAATTAATAAAAAAGATACGAATCACCAATCAGCATCTTCCTGGTAAAGTGGTCAATCCCACGAACCCACACGTGCCACCTCACACGTGGCCCCAACCTCTAATATTAAATTATTAATTAACGGTCTCTCCCTCCTCTCTCTACCTGAACAATTTAAATAAAAAAACAAAACAAAAAACAAAATTAACAGAACAATACGCACTTTCTCTCTCTAAAAATCCCCACACTTCGAAATATAAAATTACGCGGTCTCTCCCAGAGTCACAGTGCCCCCCCTCTTTTTCTCTCTCTATTTTCCTGTACTCCATCAATGGTGATCTGAAAAAGAGAGAGATAAGATAATCGTATCGCTGTGTGTGTTATTTGGTTTGGAATTTTGCAGCATTGTTTTGCCCTAGGTACATTGTATTCATTCGTCATTTTGAGGACGAACTAGATATAGCCTATAGGTGCTGGCATCGTAGTAGAAGATAATGTTGCCCTTTGATTCATTCGACGCGTTTTTGTTGGCGGCTAGCAGAGCTTGTTGTAGTCCCCTCGCGATTTTTATTCAGATCCAGGTACGGTTTATTTTGGATTCTCTCTTGAAAAAGTGAGAGAGCTTTTTTCTTGAAATTTTTGTTTATGTTTTTCTACTGTTGAGAAGGGTGATTTTGCTTTCTGATGGAGAAAAAAAGGAACATCTTTGCTTTTGGTACGGTTTGGATCTGAGAATTATTAACTTAGGATTGGATTAGATGAATTTTATGTAGGAGATATTACACCGATAATGTGCATATTATATTCATCAAGAGCATGTCGTTAATATGCGTGAAATCGAAACATCATTCGACTTACCGAAATCTGATTTGAGAAGATAAAATAGCGATTTACCGACTTCGAATGT